CGAGGACTGGCTCCAGCGTGGGGTGGGTAAGCCTTGCAGCAGGGACACCCACCGGTAAGGACATCCCTTAAACACAGACGGCGACTCTGCATCTCCGGGCTGGAGCGTGAGAAGCTGCTTTGACCGGCACCCTGCAGTTAGAACGCGACTGATTCAGGAGAGGAAAAATCACTTCAAAATCAAAAGGAGTCCTTCCCTTCCTCTCCCTTCCCTCCCTCCTGGCATAGAGGAAATGGCTCCCAGGGTCTAGGCAGGGAGGTGGGGGCGCCAACACAGGTGTCCCCCGCAGGGCCTTCTAAGGCCCCGAGGAGTCGGGAGGGGGCAGACACACACAGAGAAGCCAGACCAAGTGGCTAGATGTGGCGGATGGAGAAAATACACTCCCTGAACAATCAGCTAATACATCTGGGGGTGAAGGGAGCCAGGCTTTCCGTGGTCTGAGAAGGAATTTGTAAACACAGAAAGGGAAAGGCTGGAAAGAGCCCCGCCACGCTGGATTGGGAACGGAAGCACCGGTATGGCCACGCGGGTCTGACCACAGACGCGATGCGATCCAGCAGCAGTCCCGGATGGGGTGGCGCAGGGACACAGCTGTGCACAAGGGTTTCCCGACCGTCTGCCCCGAGAGCCTGGATGCACGGATGCCCCACAAGTAAACAGGCACTCCCGAGCGCCCCATCTTAGTCCCTAAATCCCACACAGCGCAACTCCGGCAGCTCCTCAGTGAGATGGTGGGTCCCAGGGATGAGGCCCGAAAAGAATGGAGTGAGCCTGAGAACATTCTACCTGAATTTCGTAAGGGTGTGCTCCAATAATGGTAAGGGCATTAGAAAAACCAAAAGCAGACCCAAAAACCACACACAAAAAGGGGCTCCTGCTCCCTAAATGTGGACAATTTAAGCATCAAAATAGAGTTTCAGATTATAACCCCAATAAATACCATACGTTCACACTGAAATGATGATTAAGTAGGAAAGAAAGATAATACAGTTCTTTCTCACAGTAGCAGAGCACGTAGTAAGTGGAGGAGGAACACTGGCCACCAGGCGGCCTCGGCAGTGGTAGCTCAGAGGGGCGGAGGCCGGCGCGGTCTGATGAGAAACCGTGGTCAGTGTTTCTCCCACAAAATGCTCTTCAACACCAAATCTTTTTAAGGATCACTTTGCACTGGAGAAACCTTGCAGACACCAACCTCACCAAGGGGTCAAGGTCAACATCACCAGTGGTGAGAGGGGTCAGCATCCTGTGACCCTGCTGGGACACTCGGCTTTTATCAGCACAGGAGGAAAACTGCCTGGGTGGGCAGCAGGCTGAGGGTCATCCTAGAAACCGAAGGTGCTTTGTTCCCGAATACTGTCACAAAGACTAAATAATGCTCCACCATAAAAGGAACCCAATGAGATGAGTCCACCAAGTGTGATGCGTGCTGTTGACAGCATCCTGGGAAACAGCCCCGGGTCTGGGGGAAGGACGGCTGTGTTGCCACATAGCTCATATGCTGACTCCAGAGAGCAGGGAGAGGGGAGGAGCGACGGAGCCAATGGGGCAAAATGTGCAAAACTGGGAAATCTGGGTAAGGGAACGTGGGAGCTCTCTGTTCCACTCTAACACTCTTCTATAGTCTGAAACGATTTCAAACATTAATTAAAAAGAAAAAAGTTTGTCCTGTTCTATTGGAAGGCTTTTCTGATCATTTCACTGTGAAGTTACCGTTTCCTTGAGTTTATAGCTCAGCTGCAAACATGTTTTTAGGCTAAAAATTGTGGTTTAATCCCTCAGCCTGAAAAGCAGTTTACTTGCCATCAAATTATTTAAGACTTTGTACCAACACAAACTCCCATGAAACTGCACAGTAGGTAAAGTGAAGTTCCCATGTGAAGATGCCCCATTCCTATAGAAGGCAGTGTGCCAGAATCATGTACTTTGCCAGAAGGACAAGGGCTCCAGGCAGACTGAACTGGCCAAGGTAGCCACAGAATGACACTGGTCAGGTCAGGCTGACTCCGACGTAAGTCGTGTCCTCTAAGACCATAGCCTGGTTACTGCCAAGCACCTTAATAGTGAACTATTCAGCCCCACAGGGGTCTGGAACCTATCAGAGGAATCCAAGCACAGTTCCCAAGAAAATCACTAATATGTAGATGAGTGAAGGCCCAGTTACACGGTGGGCAACAGACACTCACTTTCCTGATTACAGGTCAAAAATCAGACAATGCCTTGAGATGGTACGCTAGGGAGAAAGAAATTAGTATGTTTTTTGGAACTCACAATAATCCTCAAGAACTAACGCGATGAAAAAAATTATAGATCTGTTCAACTTTCCATTTTACTGTTAAAAAAATCTATCACTCGGGGAGCCTGGGTGGCTCAGTGGGTTAAGCCTCTGCCTTCAGCTCAGGCCATGATCTCAGGGTCCTGGGATCAAGCCCCGCATCAGGCTCTCTGCTCAGCAGGGAGCCTGCTTCCCCAGCTCCCTGCCTGCCTCTCTGTCTACTTGTGATCTCTCTCTGTCAAATAAATAAAATCTTAAAAAAAGAAAAAAAAAAAAAGCTATCACTGGGCACCTGGGAGGCTCAGTTGGTTGAGTGTCTGACTCCTGATTTCAGCTCAGGTCATGATCTTGGGGTCGTGCAATCCAGCCCCACATCCGGCTCCACACTGGGCACGGAGCCTGCTTAAGAGTCTCTCTCTCTCCCCTTCCCTCTGCTCCTCCTTCCCACTCTAAAAATTAAATAAATAAATAAATAAGCAAGCACACAAAATTAAAAAGGCTATCACTAATATTTATATAGTTCCTAATAAATTAGATTATTAAATTAACTAAAATACATTGGGTATAAAATTAAGAAGAATATGGAGGACTCCTTTTAAATTCCAGGGACAAAATAAAGCAGTACCACACACACACACACACACACACACACACAGTGGGGGATCTTTTGGATAAAAAGGTAGCCAGAAAAAAATGAAACAAGATGGGATCAGGAGGGAGACAAACCATAAGAGACTCTTAAGCTCACAAAACAAACTGAGGGTTGCTGGGGGTGGGGGGGGTAGGGATAGGGTGGTTGGGTTATGGATATAGGGGAGGGTATGTGCTATGGTGAGTGCTGTGAAATGTGTAAGCCTGACCATATACAGACCTGTACCCCTGGGGCAAATACTACATTATATGTTAATAAAAACAATTAAAAAAAAATAAAGGTAGCCAGGGAAACAATCATGTAGATTTTAACCTTCAGGGCAGGAGGTATGACCACATTCTGAAGCAAATATCACAACCATTCCGTACATCCATTCAATTCACCCAAGGACGCTAAGGGATCAGGAGACTAGGGCCCAAGGACAGGAGACTGGCAGCCACTTGGTGAAGCAGGAAGTGCCAGACTGAAAAACCAATGGTCAGTTTCTTCCCTGTGATTCTGACCAGTGTGCTGGTAGCTCTGGTCAAGGAAGACATGGGTAAACCGAGCATCCTCTCTGTGCCCTGCCCTCTACAGGGTTTTGCGTATTTCTAACTCGAGTCTTGGGCGACCTTTCATCTCAGCATACACGGCTGCAGATGCCCACGATGAAGAGAGAGCAGGGGACACCTCGCTGAAGACAAGCATGCACCTGCACTCCCCTCCGGGAATTTAACCGGAGTCAGAAAGGCAGACTGGTCTCACTGACCTGACGACCACACCATGGATGACGGCAGGCACACATCAGGCTCTCTGCACCAGCTGTGCCCAGCACGTGAGGGCATGTGGAGGCAGCAAGGTGGCAGCTGAGAGCATGGAGCCGGCCTGCCCGGGCTCATGTCTCTGCTCCACCTCCTCCAGGGGCTGACCTAGCACAAGTCACTTGATCTCCGAGCCTCAGTCTCCTCATTTGTAACAGCACAGCCAACAAGGACACATGCCCCAGAGTTGTGAACAAGCAATAAGTGATCCCATAAAGTCCTCACAAAAAAGCCAGGCCCAGGGGTGCCTGGGTAGCTCAGTCGGTTAAGTGTCCAACTCTTGGTTTAAGTTCAGGTCATGATCTCAGGGTAGTGAGATCGAGCCCTACATCGGGCTCTGTGCTGGGCGTGGAACCTGCTTCAGATTCTCTCTCTCCCTCTCCCTCTGCCCTGCTCCTGCTGTGTGTGTACGACCCCTTTCTAAAATATAAATAAATAAATAAATAAATAAATAAATAACAACTAATAAAATAAAAAAAAAAACACGCCCAGAGAAAGGGGGCAGAAAATAAGACAGGGATATAGTAAAGAAATAATTTACCTTAAAATAATAATTTAAAAAAATGCTATACTTAGATTTCTAAAGCAGCTAGTAGCTTCAACCAGTGTGTGGTTTTTTGGGATGCCTGGGTGGCTTAGTCAGTTGAGCACTCTTGGTTTGGGCTTAGGTCATGATCTCAGAATTACAAGATGGAGCCCAATATCGGGCTCTGCACTCGGCACGGGAGTCGGCTTGAGATTCCCTCTCCCTGTCCCTCCCACTGCTCGTGTGGTCTCTCTCCCAAATAATCAAATCTTTAAAAATAAATAAATAAATAAATAAATAAAGACAGTGTGTGCTTTTTGACCTAGAACATGAGGCAATATCAGGTTTCCCTCCTTTCTACAAAGTTTCATTCAGGAAAATTAAACTGAGTTCAACTAGACGGAACAGCACGTGAAAACACCTATTTCTAAAGTACATGCAGTCCAGACAGTTGGAATCTCACTTACTCTATCAGGTGAAAACATAAGCACTCCAGAGGAAATCCACAAACGTCACAGGGGCAGGGGAAATGAGCTCATGGCCGACCACCCCTTTTTACAGGAGCCCCACAACCCCATCCCAGGACACACACATTGTTCAAAAGCCACAACCAAACTGCACGTTAACACGAAATCTACAAGCCATGTCTGGGCTAAACAAAACTGTCTTCTTTCTCCCCAGCTCCTGGGATTAGGACACAAGACTGCTGCCTCGCATCTCAAGTGCAACTGAGTGGAACTGCCCGCTCACCTCGGAATAAGCAAGAGTGATGTGCTCATATATTCCCTGATGGTGATGAATGGCGTCCTCCAGATCCTGCAGCTCGGAGGGAAGGTCTACCTCACCACAGGCTTTACACCACGAATCCACGTTGCTCATGTACTTGGAAGATTAAAAAAAAAAAAAAAAGATTACTTCTATCAATGGCAATTTATACTAAGAAGTACATATTTTTTAAACATGGTTTTGAAATTAGGGTCACTGAGAGAGAGTCTAAGAAAGCAGCAAGGTTGAGTCTGCACCACAGCCAGCACGGAGGTGAGCCCTCAGACCACAGCTGGACTTCACCCCTGAGCTCAGGTTCTAGCAGGAGCGGGGCTGGGCCCAAGGACCTGCTGTTTGAAATGACAGCCCCAGGTCACTCTGAGGCCCACACGGAGCAACACGTCTGGGGTCACCCCGCCCTGCGTTCGGTTTTGGGCCTCCTGGTTAACTCCCCAGCCCTCCTCTGAACCAGAGATGCCAACGAGCCTGCGCCACGAGCCGTGGGGGGCATGGAGGCCCGGCGGCCCTGTGCCTAGGCCCCAGCCAGGAGCTACAGCCCTGCCTTCCCACTTTCCTCTAACACTGAGATGCTAGCAGAAGCCCAAGTATCTGAAATCGTTTACCTGAACACAGGAAGAGCAGCAGGCCCAAATGAAGGCCACCCAAAGTCCTCAGCTGTGCCCTCCGAGCCCACGGGAAGGCTGAGGGAGGTGGTGGACTGACTCAGAGGTCTTTCCCACTTTGCACATAAATGAGAAGGGAAACGTCTCAGCTGCAGTCCTGGCTGAGAACTGTCATTCCAACCTCTCCTCAGTTTTCTGCCCCTGCCCCTGCCGCAGCCCCAGGATTCATCGAGTGGAGAAATCACTGCCAGACTTCCAGGGAGACCCTATCAGCACCCACCGCAGGTAAGTGTCAAAGGCAAGCGGCAGAAGACCGCATTAAAGATGCTAAATCAATTAAGCCAAGTAGGCATGGACACGTTTCCCTGGGCTTCACCTCATTTATTCTAATTCCCTGGCATCTTTCTATGTTTACCAAGGAATGCAGAGGGTGATTATTCGAAATTGGGTGAGGACCTGCCAGACAGGAAACGTGCTAGGATTCTCTTAAAATACACAGGAGAATGACCCGCCAGTTACTTATGACTTTTTTTAGAAACTTAAAATAGGCAAGTCACTCAAGTAATAATGTGTTTATAAAAATCCTTTTATCATTAACGTACTGGCTCAGAAAAATATCTGTGTGCAGACCTCAGGGCTTGAAAGGAATTTGCAGGCCCTTCTGCGTCCTGTGATAGCAGCTCACGCTTCAGCCGCCACGAGCGCAGGGGATATCCTCGCTACCGCGCCCTCCGAACACCTTCAGGCCCAGAGAAGTAGGAACAAGGCTGCCTTACACCTCTCCCCTCCGCACGCGTGCATGTGGGACGACACACGCGTATTTCTAGGGATTTCTTGTGTGGAGCATTCCAGAAATGTCAAACAGGTCAGGCTGAGTGATCTCGGTTTCCCTCCTTTTCTGTGACTGCATTAAATACCAATCATTGAAAACCTTTCTCAAATATGAATAAAGAGAAACATTCGTGAAGTTTTATATATGCCTGTAATAAAAGTAACTCAGAACTTCTTCAAATATCTAGAAAGGGTATTGATTATATTCACCTGAAAAAAGACAGCCAGGTCCTAAATACGTAGAGAGAGATGGCCTGCCATGAGTTAGCCACTGTGGAGAAAGGATTGTGCACGCCTAAATTTACTGGGCTGAAGTATCCCAGTGACAGACATAAACCTGGGCAGGGTTTCACAGGGCTTCTGTGCAGTGTAATTTGTCTCGTGTTTATGAGATGGCAACTCAAGACCCCAGAGTACAAGCTCTAAGGCCTGAATGGTTTCTCAAAGAGCCTGAACCCACACCACAGGGCAGCCATCTCCATCTAATAGGTCTTCCCCAAGGAAATGGCATCCTGGTGGCAAAGTCCAACAGGTACCTATATCGAGTAGAACCTCTCTGGGCCAGTTAATACGATAACGTGCATTGCGGATGGGCAAGGGGGGAAGCCTGGTGTGTTCATTCCCCGAACTTCTCGGACCATTCTACGGCCTTCCACCCTCTCCACCCCCAGGCTGTGCACGTATCACCATCTTGAGACATATGGTTGGGACTACACCACCAGGGGAGTACGTACTCCGTAAAGGACAGGTTGCAGGAGGTGGCTACCGTACTCCAGGGAGACCAGAGCAGCCAATTTAGTCTCTGATACTTTAAATGCCTAAATACGTGAACACACAGTATCCAGCTAGGCGAGGGCAAGAGAATTCAATGCTTCTCCATGAATTCAAATCGGGAGCTGCTATAGAACTGGGAACTCTGAGGCTCAGCAGAATGATGACTTTTTTAAAGTGTAGCTGAACACAGGATGAAGAGTCTGGCTCAGCCAGTTTGCAAAACTGAGGCAAGCAGATGAGGGCAGAGTAATTAATACACATAGCTTCACCAGGAGAGCTCTAATCATTAATTAGGTTTGTTTCCATAAACATTTATTCCACTACCCTCCACATGCTGAGAGCGGGGGCTTCCAGTCTGGGAGCTGCTCAGCGCTCTGGCCTGCTCTGCCTCCTGCCGCCCACCTCCCACCCCCAACAGGGCTCATGACAGGGCACAACTGAGCACGGGTGCTTAGCTCATTTAGAAGACACAGAGACAAACTGCCCAGAATGGGAATTTTTCAAATATTTAGAGAGATTTTCTCTTCTTTGACAAAAATAACACTGGTTTAGTATTACAGATACACACACACGTACATGTTTAATATAAATATCAACTCAAACGTCAGAGTTATTTCAATTTCTTCAGCTTTTTGTTTTCACTTCTAGAAAATATTACCCTAGAAGTTTTATATTTGCCTAGAGTAAAGTAACTTGCAATTTACTACTTTTCCTTCATACTTCATCATTTCTGCTCCTTGAGTACTCATCAGCAGCCCCTCTTTCCCGGTTCCGCCAAGGGAGACGGCTCCTTTCTCTGAGCATGGAGATCACAGGAGGGAGAAGCCTGTCCCATCTGCGAAGCTCGGACAGTATCAGCACGGTGACTTGGAGGAGGCAGGCTGGTCGCGTGCGTTACACCTGTTCTCCTTAATAACTTTTTATTTTTATGCATAATTACTCCAATTCCTTTCTATTCCATGAGAATCTCTGTTTTTGTCCACAAGCCAAAAGTCAGGCCTACGCTTTTATAAAGTAAAACACCATTAAACTGGGGAACAATTACATGTGTATTATTTGCCTTAAAAATTCAAAAAGGAATAGTGAAGTATTATTTTCCTCCGAGTTCCAACCCTGACTTAGGATAAAGTTATCTGGATAACTAGGATAGATCATGTTTATCATAAATGTTATTTTTAAAACTTTTTATGGAAAGTGAAGTTTTATAAGGATATTAACCTAATAAAGAGTGTTCTATTATGTCAGGAACTAAAAGACTGTCACAGACCTCAACAGAAGTCCCAACATACGCAAATCACTCCCCAAACACAATATAAGGACAATAATATCACTGGTCCCATCTACTTCACTGGGCTGATTTAAAGAAGAAACGACAATTTGTGTCAGAGAGCTCTGTAAATTCTAAAGAACTATAGAGATACCGGCTCTCACTTTATTTTTGGCTATTATCAAATTGCAAAGCTCTCAAACTCACAGATGAAGTGAGGTCATCAGAGTTAAGGCTCACTTAAAGGTACACCTTTATCAGCATTCGCAGAACTTACGGCAGGGATGGAAATGTCTGTCTGTGCTGTCTGGTACAGCAGCCAGCAGCCATGATGTGGACACTGTATGGCATTTTAATTTACTTTTACATTCTCTTAACAAACTTTAAGTAATTTCAACGGTGGCATGTGGTGACTGGCTACCACACTGGAGAATGCAGCTCTAGACCTTTTTTTTTTTTCTTTTCAGAAAGGCAGACTGCCACACACTCAACCTCGAAGTTTGACTGCCCTCCTTTGTTTCCACAAAGGGACCCTGAGGGTCTGTGTGGGGGGTTCTAGCAGGAAAGCACAGGTACTGGCGTGCTCCTGACCAAAGACTATCCTCTTTCGGGAACACTCACCCTCCTGGATACAGCTAGCAGCCCCTGGGAGGGACACACGTGGAGCGGGGACAGAGGAGGGGGACACCCGCCTCACCAGCCAGATCACCCCTGGTGATCAGTGGGGTGACAGATGTCATAGCCAGATCACCCTCACACCCCAGATCATTTTTGTTTAATAGTAAAAACGGGAGATGTGAAGGTATAGTAAAATCAATCACTTTTTCTGGCTTTATAAAAAGGTAATTCTAGTGACATTAGCTATGAAAGTTTCGTATCAAGAGACCATCCAGCAGACAGGCCATGTGACCAAAAGCAGGAACACCGCGTACCGGTGAGACTGCCGGCCTCACAGCCCTGTCTCCAAGCTTGCAAATGGAGACTCTGGGGGCGCACAGAGCATCCCCAGAGGGGCAGCCTGAGAGCGAATGAACGGCCGCGACGTCTGCAGAAGGCGATGTTCTCCTCAGCTAGTCTCCACCTCAAGATTTATGTTTGTAAAACCACAAGCAAACCCCAACACCAGAACACCCACCAAGACCACAGCGGAGACAGAGGAGCGCGGCTGTGCAGCCCAGGGCACGCGTCTCCCCAGCTGGGAGCTGCAATCCTTACAGGGAAGCTGCTTCCTTCCACCAAACATGAACCATGGGCTCCCATGGTGGAGCTCCAGGCCTTCCTGATCACACTTCATTTCATACTGATACATCTGGACGGGGTTCAGAGAGGCGGCCAAGATGGCAACCTAACTTAGGATGTCCAAGTTTCTGGTCTTCTCCCCATTGAGCTTATTAAAACAGCTTCAGCGTTAACTGGAAAGCAAAGCACTTCAACAAAAGACCAAAGCTGAGCTATTTCTCTCCTGGGAAGAGGAAAAGTACTGAGTAGATGTGATCTTCCTTCATGCATTAGAATTTCAAGGATCTTACTTCTGTTCAGTGAAGGGGAAGATTCCCACTACATTTTCACTCGAGACTAAAGGCACTCCGAACACGTTCTAATGCCCCACCTGTACGTTTCAGATGCCTGGGCAGGCCTTGGTCGAGGTCCATCAGAAACCCTGGGGCCTCTCTACACCAGGTCCCTCTGTTCCTACACTTGTATCTGGCTTGTGGCTTCTCTGGCTACTCAATATGCACAGAGACCTTAAGCACTGTTACACTTTACAAAGGATCCCACAAAATTGTGTTCAATAATGCATTCATCTAGTTTAGTTTCCTTCAAATCCATAAATTACAGTCATTCATCTTATCCAAATGAAAACACCCCATGCTCTTTTTGAAATTTTGGATAAAAATTTTGGAGGAAAAAAAATGCCCCATGGCACCCTCATTTCTAGATTATTCTCAAGCAGGTCAGAATAGAAATTAACTTCGGGGCTTATTTATAATTCTGAATCCTACCATGTTTGCGGGATTTTTCCCTGTGTGTGACTGTGGCTCAGACTCTGTTATTCACCCACGTAGCTTGTCTTGTCTCACGTTTGCTCCTATCATCTTCACGGAACTTTCCGTGAGCCCACTACCAATTAGCACACTTCTACTTCCAGGGGTTACTGTACCCCTAACATGTTACCATTCCAGATGACGGATGTACAGGGACCAGATAGCTCATCCTCCCACCCACCATGATGTCCAATCAATGATACACCACTCCTCTGGCCGACGTCAGGGAGCACGGGTGAGTGCGGTGCAGTTTCCTGCTGAAGGGGGTTCCTATTACTTTTTTTTAAAAAACTTGTTTTTCTCTGTGGACTTTTGTTTATTCTTTATCATAAAGCCAATCAAATACATAAGTTTAGGGAGGTGAAAAACCCTACTATTGGAACCTGGAAGTCCCTATTCACACCTTTCATGTGAGGCTACTATCATTTTTTTCTTTTCCTGTTCCATTTAGTTTCCTCTTGCCTCACACTTGAAAGGTTTCTAGAGTTGAGATCACTGCTAATTAGGGTCTTGTGCAACACTCTTGTTGACTTGCCAAAACCCTGGGCAAGCTGGGACCTTTATCTTACCTTCACGGGCCTCACTCCTCAACAGGGACTGTTTCTAGATTACACAGATACCATTTCCTGCCTAGCACCATCAGTACAGATACCTATGAATGCAGTCTCCCCTCAACACCAGAAAATCCTCCCCGATCAGTATTTCTCCCTTACGGCAACCCCTCACTTCTCCCCCATACGTCTTCCTGGCAGCTCAAAGTTCCTGTGTTGCTTCTCCGCCACTTGAAGAGGTATTTCCCTGCCCCGCACACTTCCCACTATGAAGTCTGAGTCATGAGCAAAGCACTTCCCTCGTGCTACTCCAGAGTGTTTGCTTAAGTGAGCTCGCTGGGGGCCTGGAGAGGCGTGGAGAGTGTTACAGGCACGTATTAGATGTTCCCTCTTCAAGTATTCTGACCAGAACATCAGCAGATGAAGCCAACGTGAACTCTGAATCCAAACAACTAACTTCATCAATAGAAGACACTGGAAGCGGCCGATCCAAAAGCCACTCTCCAACTCTAGCCCCGGCCAGCAGAGCCTGCCTATCGCTGTGGAGGCTAAAAAGCCACACCCACCTTTTCCCACCCTTCCCAGGAGCTAGGGCACAGCCTGCACCCCACTCCTGGCCAGTGGGAATGGAGGCGAGGTGTGCGGGGATGGAGGGACCTTCTGAAAATAATGCTTCCCCGACTATAGTGGGTGCCGTGCTCGAGATGCAGGGGCTGGGGCACCATGTCTGTGGCCACGGCAGGAAGACCAAGGCAGCCTGAGAGGAGCAGATCCTGGCCTGACATCGCTGTATAGCTACAGTTCCCCAGACTTTGCAACATCTTATTTTCTGAGAAAAGCAAACCCCTGATATTTAAAACCTCATACTCCGGCATTGTTACTTGCTGTCAGAGCATCGTATTAGAATACTAAGGTGACAGTACTGAGGAGGAAGAGGAGAGGAGGAAGGAGACGGAGAGTGGGGAGAAGGGAGAGGAGGGAAAAAGAACAGTGGCTATCACTGATTAGTACCTACTGGATACCAGGCACCACACAGGCCACCTCACAAGAATTATCTCATTTACAGGAGAAAACACTCCTCTCAAGTAGATACTTTTATTTCCATTTTATAGATGAGAAAACCAAGGAACAGAGAGGCGAAGGAATTTGCCAAAGATGGCACAGCACACGGTCAGAGAGCTGGGGTTTCAGCTCACAGCTGCCTGACTTCAGAGCTCATGTTCTTAAGCACTGTGGGTGTCACACCAAAGTCGTCCAGGGATTGGGCTGCGGGGAGGGCACTGGGGGAGAACGTGTTCCGGTCACCACCTTGTGGGCTGCGGGCCCCAAGCACTGACCTTTTCAGCCTTCTGGTGGAAAATGGAGGACATGTCCAGCAAGGTACTCCGCTCATCCAAGGCTGCCGCAAACGCCTTCCACTCCTGCTCCAGCTGGTTCGCAATCTGCTTAATCTGCTGAGAGGCGTAGTGGCCAGACTCGACCAAGCGATTTGCCACCGACATTATGCGGTTTATATTTACATACACGTTCTGCAAAAGATGGGGGAGAGAAAGAGGGCTTGTAGGGGAAGGCAAACAAGAGGCTTCCTTGCAGGACCTGCGGATCATAGAGCTTTCTGAAACACAGCCCACGAACTCCACTTCTGTTTTTAAGGGCAGAATCACCTGATAGAGAACAGTGGACGTACTTGCTATCTGATTTCCAGAAACTCTAAATATTGGTTTCAATTTCTATTTCTAAAACTGCAAAATTACAAATCAACTAGCTGAGGGGCAGACTGGTAGGCACAAAGCAATCAAGTACACAAGTGGGTGCACACAGACACACTCTTACTCACTCGCTGGCTTCGGATCCTGAAACGGGGCCAGATGGCAAGCCTACGGAGAAGCAGTCACCCAGAACCGAGAAAACCCAACACCGCAGGTTTTAACTGGAACCCGGGAACTACACGGCGCATGCGGAGCAGCCACAGGCTGTTCTGTGTGAAAACAAGCTCTCCCATCTACACCAGCCCAAGCCATCTGGGCGGTGCCAACAGAGAATCCTCTGCAGACGGATCTGCTTTCTCCACAGCAGAGGAGTGGAGGCACGAAAGGGAACAACGCTGCGTGCAAACCTTCAATCAAGTTTTCTATTCTGTGGAAATGCCCATCTTCAGGCCCAGCAGTTTACTGCAAAAATAACAGTGTGAGGCTGGAAAAAAGGACACATTTGGCCCTCAAAACAGGTTCTCGCTATGCTGTGCTCCCTTCCAGCTTCCTTGGCCTTTGAGGCTGCTAGTCTGGGAGAGGCAGCGGTGGGGAACGCGCGCCTTCAACACAGCCCCGCCTGTCATCACAACACTGCTCCTCCTGATGGGTCTCCCAAAATCATGTACCCCCGTTGGCTCCTCCCAACCGTGCTGCTAAATCTAATTCCTCAACCTGTCCAAACCTCTCTCCCTTTTTCCTGCCTCCTCTCCGCTCTCGCCGTGGTTCTCTGGGCCCCTCTCCCACCACACACACCCTGCATGGCCTCCTCACGGTGACCTCGTCTGCAGCCCACCCCGAAGCCCCCTAAAGAACGTACTTATCCATTCTTCCTTTGTACCATCTTCTACTCATTTTTTTCCTCTCCACTTTGACCCAAATCAAAACTAGATAGAGTCACTCTGGGACTAGAAAGGCACAGACTCCAGCCTCGAATTAGCTAACAGATGACCGCTGTCTACAGTGGCAGGGAGAGAGGGCACCGGTGAGGCTAAGACAGTCAACCAAGGCCATGGTCAGTGAAAAACCGGCCTCCCTGGTTCTTGTGGTGATAATGCTCTAACGAGTATCCTTTAGGCAAAAGTAATGCTCCCTCTTCCCATATGTGTTCTCTCCCTCTAGCTGTAGGTAACCAGAATTACTAATTTTTGTTTTGCATCATTAAAGATGTAAATCAACCCGAAAGGTGTTAGGAAGAGCATATGCCAATGCCCTCTGTTAGAACCCAGAGCAGAGCTCTCCATGCAGATGGGTCTGCCATGGGAACCACTGGGGGGACTCATTCCCACTGAGATTCTGTTACGGTGTCCCATGTCCCTTTCAGATCCTCAACCAGACTGTACTGCGCGTGGAGGGTCTGTGGACTGGACCTTTACCATCATTCCATCACTGATTACACAGATAAAGGAAAGTGCTGGAACACCAACCAATAAACAGCCTCTAACATAAAATACAGAATTCCCCTTGTTAAAGTACCTACCTCAAGATCTTATCATCACAGCTTTTAAAGAAAAAAAAAAAAAAAAGATTTTATTTGTTTGAGACAGAGAGAAAGCATGAGCATGGTGAGGGGCAGAGGGAGAAGCAGGCTCCCCGCTGAGCAGGGAGCCCCATGCAGAACTCAATCCCAGCATCCCGGGATCATGACATGAGCCAAAGGCAGACACTTAACCAACTGAGCCACCCAGGCGCCCTCATCACAGCTTTTAAAAGCATCTACGACACTACCACGAGCAGAATTGTTGGTGTCCCTTAACATGCTTCAGAGACTGGCGACTTGGCAGGTTCATATTCAGCATTTTCATTTTTTCCAAAAAAAATGTTTAAAACACTGTAGGAAGCACAAGAAAGGGCTACAAATTAAGAAGTCCTTGCTCTGCATAAAGACATGTCCTAGCTGGGTACCAAGCACTCGTGGAGGAGTGGCGGACAAGGAGCCAGATAGGCCTGGAAGCTTCCCCGGCAGCTGCCACCCACAGTGGCACAGGGTTATGCCACTCCTCCAGTTAAAACTTAAGCTTAGACAGGCACCTGGATGGCTCAGACTGTTGAGTGTCGGCCTTCTGCCTTTGGCTCAGGTCGTGGTCCCAGGGTCCTGGGATGGAGCCCCACGTCAGTCTCCCTGCTCAGCCGGGAGCCTGCTTCTCCCTCTCCCCTTACTCATGCTCTCTCATAAAGAAATAAATAAAAATCTTCCAAAAAAGAAAAAGAACTTTAACTTAGAAAAATAAGTTTATTGTAAAGAACCAGAAAATAGACTTAAGCCTTTAAAAATAAAAAAAAGTACATTACTCATACTTTTAAGAGTTTCTTTTAACAATGTTTTTAATTGGTGATAACATGACTGTTAATAATTAGCATTTATCAAGTACTTATTTTGCATTGAGCACTATCTTAGTGTTTTACATATGCAGAGGAAATAAAATTATATCTGCCATGGAAGGCAGATATAATCCCCACTTTACAGATTAGGAAACTGACGCTTGCAGAGACTAAATGGCCTGCCCAAAGTCACAAGGTAACTGGAAGGCTCAGATTAGAGCATTCCTAACCCACCCCATGCTCCTGTCTTCTACATCATACTTCCCATTTTCTTGACCCTAAATGTCGCACTAATAATGCTGGGGGGTGGGTATATTTTCTGTTCTTGTTTCTCTAAAATATATTTTAGTACTTCTTGTTTACATATTATGTGATACAACAGACTGAATGCCTTCCACCACTAGCTGCGGTTTCAGAACAACTTGAAAAATTGATAAAAATTTCTTAGGAAGAAATTCTAAGACGCTTCCTCCACAGGTAACATTTTGGAACTCTTCATCTATGCCTGGGTTTAAAATTTCAAACCACAAATTCTCTCACCTCAAACTCTAGAACCGACACTAAACTTTTTTTGATGGAGTCTATTACAAAAATTGTATTGCTAAATGTTACCTTTGAAACTGCCTAGGAGCACTCAGTTACCCAAACTTTAATTAAATAGCATCTTACTGAATTAATTTAGGCAAAGACCCTGTCTTCATACCGCTTCAGTATTCTGTAACAAATGTTACAAGGCCCAAGAGTGGTTAATTCTCGTAAGACTAGCTCAAACTCCAAACCCAAACTCCTGGACCCTGAAAAGGAAATTTTCAGAAGGATAACTGTCTACAGAAACAACATATATCCTGTAGAACACGGTGTTTTATTTTAGTTATATTAACTCCAAAAATGTAACAAAAATACTATTTAGAATTGTTTGTTGTTTTGTCTAACGGTCCTACAACAACCCAGCACTGGTCACAAAAGGCTAGCAGAGTCAAGCGCATCGGCCTCCAACAGAGCAGGGTGTTCTAGCATGGCCTATGCCCAGATCCTAGTACTTCAGTTCAACCTGGAAGGAAATGTCATGTTTTAAGAGAACTGGAGTATGCCCTGGAGGGAGAAAGCAGGCAGGCTGGCTTATTTCCTCCTCACAAAGGGCAGCCAGCAAACGGAGAGCAGCTGTGCTCAGAACACTCCCTCAGCCACTGAGCAGCTTCTCTGGAGCCCCTACAGGCTCCTAAGAGGTACAGCACAGGAACCAGCCTCAAAATCATCCACGTAAACTGGCCAAGTAACAGGCTCGAGTTTCTCCGATGTGTTTGCTTGTTCTCACATTCTCATCTGCTTAAAGCTTAAAAGAAGCTGTAGGTACTGCTAACCCCAAGAAAGTGGCATGCTCGGAGGTCAGCTACCAACACCACCGGTACCTCCAAAGGCCCCGCGTGGCCTCCTGGCGCAGGGCTGGGGCACCATCCGTGTAAGCCCCTCCCATCCGCTGGAATCCTCTGCCACACGCGCCACCGCTGTGCCCACAGCCTCTTACCATGCAGTTCATGGCGAAGTGGTTGTGCTGCGTCTGCAGCTCCATCGCGTGGGGGTGGCTGGTCCCGATCTCAGTGTAGCTGTTCAGAAACAGGCCCTTGTTGTGTGTGATCCAGTCGAACATCTACCAGAGTGAAGAAAGACAAGCTGAAGCAGCCCCGGGAAGAGGGATGGCTGCCACAGGCCCAGGAGCAGGGCCAAGCCAACCAAGGGCAGCATCTTTGCTCTGACAACCTCTCGGTCTTTTGGGTCCAAAAAGATCCTTGACTTCGAAGTAAGCTGTTCTGAACCGGCCCGGTCTGCGAGAAAGTCCTACCGCATGTGCTCCTTCGGCTGATGAGGAATTAAGAGGCAGACAGGCAAAGAGGGGTGCTCAACCCCCCCCGGCTAACTAAAACCAACCTCTGACTCTCAACCCAGCCTCCCTGCTGTCGTGAACTGCTTCCCTGACCACACTGCTCTTCAGTGAAAGACCTGTTGGGTGAAATTAGGGACTGGCAGGTATCTGGGCAGTTTCTCCTATGCCCACAGATGACCGACAGCAACTCCAGTGACTACACGATCATATCTGCTTGAGAGCAAACCGTATTTTAAAAACCGTGCAAATGCAAACAATAAAATTTACCATAAAAATAGAAAGGACTGGAAAAAAATTTAATGATGACATACATCTCTCTCGAGGTTCAATACAGATACTCCCTGGAAAAGGATGTCAGTTACGTTGCTCACAAGGAAAACATGAAAGCAAAAGGAAATAACTATCATTATTTGGACTGGTATCGTGACTTGAATCAGAATCCTAGAGACTGTCACCTGTTTTTTCCTAGTAATTGAAAGGAAGATTTTTCTAGTGTCTTTGACAAGGCACTTCTTTAAATGTAAGTATGCTGACGGGTAGGTTAAAAGCTTGCCAGACAACAGTAGTGGATTGTCACTGTTTGAAAGGTCCTTTTGTATCAAAGATTAGTGATATAGTTTTTTTAACATTAGAAAATATTCTCCTGTGAGGAAAAACTCTGTGAAAAAAATTCAATGAGCTTAAATTAAGAGTGATCGGTTCACCCATGTTCATGGCTTGTGACACAGTCCTCCCAGTAAGTGTCCTGTTTCCACTGCTAAGACAGAGTTAGCAGGTGACATGAGCATCCACTCGGACCAGCTGTTTCATCTGGAGCATGAGAATAAAATGAGGCCATAAGTAATCACTGCCCGTATTTCCCAGAAGCTATTCTTTTTAACACCTGATTCGTCTTTTATCTTAAAAGCATGGTCAACAATAGATCGGAATGGTGTTCTGTCACTGGCTTCATTGTGGCAAAACACATACCTACGTAATTATTGCTTTTGATCATATAAATTCTACAAGATGTTCACTCTTTTAACTCAAGATACCCTTCTCGTCTACCTTACAGGCATGCCAAACCACAATGTCAGTCATTAAGAACCCAAAGCTCCTCAGCCCTGGCCTGCACCACAAGGGAAGCTGAAAGGCGGATTTCAGGCAGATGGCTGGAGTGAACCGACACCTTCCTCTTCCTCAGCCCTCTCTCCTGACCAAAGCAGCCCCCTAGGTGCCGGGACCCGACGATCCAGGAAACCCATCCGTGTCTCATTTCAACTTCCCTCCCCCTGCTCCTTTACCTTTTCAGCGTCCTGCTCAAACAGCCTCAGCTGAAAGCACTGGTCCAGCTTCAGTTTTCGTACGTGCCACATCTGGTGCAGATGCTGCCGCGTGGAGTGCAGCCTGTCCAGCATGGCGGACACCTTGGGCAGGAGGCTCTGCAGGTCCGCATTGCCTGACCCCGAGTTCTTTTTGGGAAAGCTGTCACTGCTCTGAATCCTCTGGAGCAGCTTCTGTCCCTCTAAATCCAAGTCTTCTATGGGGGCCTTAATCACCTTCTTCTTCAGCTGGGAATGCTCCTCGATCATATTCCGAGCCCCCTCTAAATCCTGAGGCAGTTCTTTCTTGGCCAGGATGTCCTGAAGTTCCTCTAGCCGAGAGAGCATGTGGGTTGCATTGCTGATGTAGTCTTCAAAAGCAACTCTGATTTCAATCCATTCTTCATGGTTGTATTCCAAGCAGCCATCGAACTCGGGAGTCAGCTGAGAAGGATCAACTACTTTGGTAAGGCCTTCTAAAGAGACCATGTTTGTCTTAAGGGGAAAAAAAATCACAGATGAGAAAATGACCCAATTTTCTGTGGCCTTATCATAATGCAATTTGCAATACTTACTTACAGATATTCAAAATGTAAACCAAGTGACCTCTTTATAGAAAACATACCTTGTTCTGGCCCCATAAAAACAAATGTAGATAAAATTAACATTACCAGTATAGTCAGTGAAACAGAAGTCCATTAGAACAACACGTTAGTTAGAATACCTAAAATGACAGGATGTGTGTCTCATGAGAGCTAAAGAAATGAGATTTCTTCCCAAGAATGTGGAAATTAACCCGCTATCTTAGGCATGTTAACTGGGAAAGGTCTTAAATCGCAATACAGAGCAGACAATTAAGAAATTTTACTTTCATCAATGCACTCTTTGTCCTCCGAACCACTCCACCATCTCACTCCCAACAGAAAACTCTGCAGAGGCCTCCGGCTCTCTGCAACCAAGCAAATGTCCTGTTCGTGGGTTTCTACAACCCTGAGAAGTGCCACCTCCCTCTGAGGACACGTATTTGTGAGCTCCTTATTCAGTGACAGACATGCTCCAACCAGACCACGATCACGGCTCATCTTGCGCTACCTCCACCTCCCATCAAGTAGCAATACTAGGCTATGAATGACTTTTTGAAACTTTCTAAAATATACAAAAGTTAGCCAGACAGGGGGCAGAAGCTCTTGCCATAAAGCTGAAGACAGACGGGATGTTTCATGCATTGCAATCATCTGTCACAATTCTGAGTAGTAGAAGTTTTGTACATTCCAACTTGCACTACATTCCAATCTAACAGCGACCAAGTTTTAGTCCTTTATAATCTAAGCAAAAATCTTACCCTCACCCTACCTATGCCACGTACCACAGGGTCACTATCAATATCGTGCCTCAAGGAAAACATCGGGGCTGGGAGAGGGGTCATTAAATGCAAAGACAAAATTAAAGGAAAAAGAACTGTAGCCTAAGAGCCAAAAAATAAACCACAGAAAGGCTGGCTTAGCCCCACCTCTGTCACCTCCAGCCTTAGAAAACCTAGAACTACACCAGCCCCATGCTGGCTAGCATAAGAACCTGCAAAAAGCAAGAGAGCTAGGAAGAGGGGCCACTCCTAGTCCCGCACTTTTGCTTGCAATGTGACTGTAGGTTCATTTCTATCTCATCTGTCCAGACTTTTAGTAACATCCATGGAACTAATCACTTCACAGAGAGAGGCTGGTAACGATGTAGAGACAATAGAGAAGCTGGTATAGGGAACTTTGAAGGCCGAGGGGAAGATACCAAAATCAGACTAGCAAAACTTTTTTGTGCATTCTACATTGCTACACCATTGTTTCTGCTTTAAACACGTATAATTAAAAGGAACACACTTTAAATTCTGCATCAAGAAAATTGTAAGACCCAATAAACTGTTGTCCAAAATGACTTTTTAACTGTGTGAAGATAAAGGCTTATGGGTTTCATCTTTTACCTAAATCTCTTGAATGAAGTTTCAAATTCAAATTAAAACTGAATTCCAATTTCTGATTGAAAATCAGTACCATGGCAAGAGATTTAAAAACACAAGTAATACACATGTGAAAACACTGAAAAGTTACCATGGAACATGAAGCTTAAGAAGTACTATTGCGTGATGTGCTTAATACTACTGTCATTTATCTTAACACCCACGAAGACATTCACTGACACCTGCTATTTGGGCAAACTTAAAGAAGAAGCACAAGCTATTCCACCAAATATTATGAGATCTTATTAGAAAACATTGTACTACAGAATATGACATGAATTAGGTTTCAAGCTGGCCAGAACACTTTCTTCCCATAATCATCTCCTTATACTACCTGCATTAAAGCCCAGGCAGAGCCTTAGTAGCTGAAGGAGAGGGGACAGTGGAAAGGAAAAGAAGTCAGCAGGCTGAGGCCTGTTTCACACACCATCTAAGACAGTGACCTAATGTGCTGCTGAATTCCGAACTCTGCAGAGCTTTTAAAGGACTATCTCCCTTTCCATAAACAAGAGAACGGATGCATGAAATACAGAACAGATCATTCCCTCCATTCTCAAGGACAAGGTGAAAACTCACTTTCTTCCGGACACGTGAAGTTGGGTATCTCTCCCTAACATTCCCTTATTTCCAAGCCGAAGGCAATGATGATGGATCTGAGGCCACATAAAGCCACCTGGACTGGAGGGTGAAGCTGTTTTATCACGAGAAGTAAGAGGGAGCCTCTTTCTATGGTACACACCTTACACCTCAGCGGCCTCACCAACCAAAACAAAGAGAACTAAAACCTAAATCGCCCATGGGTGAAATAATCCAGTAGCGTCATGTCATAAATGAACCGAAGTTTTATTCGGTAACTGATTTTACATGCCATCTGTACGTAAGATGTGCTGTTCCCATTTAATATGTGCTTTTAAAAATCTATTATCTAAAATGATGAGGAGAAAGTCAACTTTTAATGAACCACGTCTATTGGTTTAACTGGTCTGGCTACACATGGAAGTTACCTCAAATTCAAATTTAGAGCTGCCAAAATTAGTCCTCTGTTTCTGCCAAAAGTTGTCTGGCTTGATTATCAGTGCAACATGAATGCAGCAGGGAAAGGACTCTTGCAGTATCTTCAGGAGAGGCTTAATGGAGTCCCACTTGGACCCGCGCATGTCCACGATCACTGTGAATCCTCGCTTGCACACCTCTTCACTAGAGAAAAAGAAAGAAACAGGTTTAAGCCATGTAACTCCTTCTCTGACCAGAGTCCCACTGGGTGAGGCTGACTCTGTGACCCTCACCCTGATGTCTGTGGGGCTCCGTATTGTGAGGTGGGGGTGGGTGGGGGAGGGGAGGGGGTGTCTCATCTTTTGCGTATTAAATGATCCCACAAGCTGTCTAGGAACTATCACAGCAAAGGTCCTCGGTGAGCACTAATGGGGACAGACCCCTAACAGTGTGCACAGAGCCCAGGTGTGGAGGGTGACAGACCAATGAACAGCAGTCAAAGGAGCCTCCCAGGATCACGGGCACTGAAACCACCCATGCCAGTGCACTGGGGATCGCGGGAGCTTTTCAATGTCCCGTTTTGTCCCCTTTTAACTGGCTTGGGTCCTTAGCTGTCCTAGAGGTTCTCCAAGTATGCTCCACTGATCCCTGGGGCTCCTTGGTGCCCTTCTGGCAGGGTCTTCAGAGTAAAGGGATTTTCACAGTAATGATAAGACTTATTTGTCTTTTGCACGTGGTTGCACTGGTGACACAAAGGCCATGGTGGTGACGAGGCTGGTCCTCAGCACCAGCCAAGCAAGTGCTAGAGCCTCTGTGCTCTTCCCCTCCACGTTCTGGCCAATTTAAACAAAAAAGCCAGTTTCTCTTAACAATGACCCTGACAAAGCAATAAAAATTATTAGTCTTATTAAGTCTCAACCCCTGAGTACATGAAAAATATAGGCAATGCACTTCTGCCATAAAGAAAATCTAAGAGTCAAAATGTCCTTAAACACAGGTGAAAATACTCAGTCACACTTGGTTATAACTTCAGTGTTCACGGGGAAGCTTTTAGGAAGGCTCTGGCACAGCCTTCCACTTCTGGAACAACCATAATAACCCTGTTTTGTGGTGGATTCACACAGTCCATGCAGGCTTCTGGTCCTAGTGCCAGACGTGACTGGGTAATGACTGAAGGAAGGGATCTGGACACACACCTAAGACCCTGAGTGGGTAATGACAACTTTTCCACCCAGCGTGAATGTACTGGGCCCAGACAGTGGAAAGACATTGGACATTTTTCTGCCTCAGGTAATCACCTGAGAAACTAAAACCTATTTATAGTTATAAACTCATATTAAAAAAAACTCAGGAAACTAATCTCTATCATCAAGTGTTGTTAAAAGGCCAAAATAAATTAAGTCAAAATTAAAACCAATTTCACTCTCTCCTGCATTAGCTCACACCTTTACCCTTCCCTCCCCATCCCTGCAGAATGCCATTCTTTTCCTTATCTTGAGGCACGCCATTACAGTAACTCGCTCCAAATTTCACAGACATAAAGTTCCTGTCACAGCTACATCCATGTAAGAGGCATGTCACAAAAAAATTCTATAAAACAAGTCTGTGGGGCTAGAACCTGAGTAGACAGCAGCGCAGGTGCTAGAAACATGGTGTGGCAAGCCATCACGGGGACACAGACTGACAGCAGCCCAGATTCTCAAAGGCGGAAACCACCAGGAATGGTTGGATGACCTCCTGTCTACCACTCCTACATGAACAGGAGCTCCAAATGAGTTAATGCTTGGCTCAGGCCCCTCTCATGATACCGCTTCTCTGTGTCTCCAGTAGGTCCTGGGCCATAAACCAGGGAACAGCACAGCACGGACCTCCTTCACAGATCCTAGAAGCGAACAGGGCTTCCAGAAAGGTCTCCTCAAATCTCCCAAGTCACTTACATGGAGCATTCTGGGCCTCTTAGGGCTCTGATGGGGTGTGCAATCTGGCAAGACCAGCCAGAGCCCGGGGAGCCTCCTCCCGCAGAGACCCTCTACTCCGGATGCCCCATCTGCTGCCACACTCCAAAGGCAGGAGACCACATGCCAGGCCCCTGATGGCCTCATTGGGTGTTGTCTCCTAGACCGACTTCAGCATCGGCCTTCACCAGATCAGGGTACGCTCTCAGGCAGACTGTGTCTCTCCTCACAGAGCGTGACACGGTGTGCACAGAACACGGCACAGCCCCTCCACTTGAAAGGGGCTGGAGAGGCATCCTGAGTAACTCCCGACTCAACAACAGGAACACGTCAGAGAACACCACACCAGAAGGTGCCTGAGCTTGCACAGGTCACAGAAGGATTCACGATCCGCCTTCCTCCACAATCGAATCAACCACCCAGTGACTTCTAAATAATGAAAATCGCACACGAACTGGACTGAGAGGGCACATCCTTCCAATCCGTCTCTTTACCCAGTTAAAAGCCAGTTCTTGTTAAGATAGCAGTGACTTGCAAAGATTCCCAAACCGTTTTATTCAGGAGCAGCTACGGAACGTGGGCAGCTGTCTCCGGGAGAAGGCACCCATGCCACTCCTCCACCAGAAGACCCCGCTCGCTGGGACGTGTGACCATTCACCAGGTACTCCGGAAGTTTCCTCTAAGAACCTCATTTCATCGTGAGATAAAGAAATGTTAGGTAAAATTAACATCCCTTCTCAATGCTGGTCTCTGAAAAACAGAAATGCTCCTTAGTTTCTACATGAAGAAAATACCTTTTAATATGAATGTTCACAAACAAATCAATTTAAGTCTCACATTATTTTGCTAGTGACAAAAGGGTTTATCCGTGTAGCTACTATAAATCATCCTAAAGAAGGCAAAATGCTCTAAAACATAATTAGTATACGTGTAACTCAAACAATAAGAGGAATAAACACCTAGAGATGTACCAAGACCAATGTTATTTTCATCACTGTGTGGGAATCCCAATTAGACCACCAAGAAGTTCTACTGTGACTTGCTTCTACTACACATAGTTAATGGAAAGTTTCTTTGCAAATTGATTCTATGAAAGTCACTCCATACTCCAATTGCTTTTATTTTTTTTTTTAAGATTCTATTTATCTGTCAGAGAGAGAGAGAGGATAAGCAGGCAGAGTGGCAGAGAGAGAAGCAGGCTCTCCGCTAAGCAAGGAGCCCAATGCGGGACTCGATCCCAGGACCCTGGGATCATCATCTGAGCCAAAGGCAGTGGCTTAACTGACTGAGCCACCCAGGCATCTGCTTTTATTATTTTTTTTTTTAAAGGAGAGAAGAAGGAAAGGGAAGGTGACCCAAGTAATAATGTTCAAACTACCCATGACCGCTCAGATCACACTTACGATTACCTCTGAGGCCACATTTTAAGAGGCACACAGACAGAGGCCATGCAGAAGAAAAATAAGATAACTGGGCTCTAGAGCACACGTCAAAGGGAAAAATAAAAGAAGGGAAGTAGGACAAATGGAAACTATCATACTTTTTCTTAGGGAGCTACTGTGTATCAGGCACTGCACTGGGCATGTGCATACGGAATCTTACTCCACACTCACAATGATCCCAAGAAGTACTCATTACTATCATATTTCACAGATCAGAAAACTGATAATAGGAACAGCTGGTGTGATTCTGCTGCCCATGCTTTCTGGATAGCGTACTTCTCCACATCTGGGAATGTGGGACCCTGCAACTATCCAGCTTGGGGGTGGCGAAAGGCCACCTTAATGCCACAGAAACTGTCAGGGGTAATGGATAGGAAAAGAAGACTCATGACCCCCAGGACGATTTATATGGCTCTGGAACTATGCCAACAAAAAATGAGACTTAAGTGCAAGCAAACCCACAAGTCAAAAAAAAATTCACACACCATCATTTTGCTGATGATTTTCTTGGCCCTACTGCTCGGCTCTAACAAAACAATGTTCCCACCACCGGGCGCACAGTCGGGCAGAACAGCTCCTGTGTGGTCAGGGAGACCCACGGGTTCTGTTGCCGCTTCTCTCCATTTGAACCACTGTGAGATTTCCCCATTATCACTTGAGAAACCTATCATTCACGTGTTAATCCCACTTCTCTTATCATTGACTGAGGACAAGCAACGTGACATTTCTTGTCACTTGGAATTATAAATACAAAAGCAAACTTAGGTGATGAAGTGGCCGTGCTCGACAATGGGGGGGGTCACCTTACACACTTATTATTTCTAAGAGAAATGATAGGAGGCTTGGGACTTTTTTTATTACAGGGGAAACTTAGAGAAAAACAAGACTGGCGACACTGATTGGTCATCACAGACGCCGGATGACAGGTATGTGGACGTCTGCTGTGTTATTCTCACCACTTTTGTGTATGCTCATCAAAATGAAGTTCTGTAGGCTCAGGCGGATCATCCCGATGATCTAAAACATACCTAAATCAAATGCTTTACAATATCAGTGAAATAAAAGAAGTTTTTCATAGTTACAATCAACCGAGATTTTTAAGCCAAAAAGCCAGTTGCCGCAATTACATACAGTCGTTCCACAGCTACACTAGATGACAAGTATCTCTCTGACTGGCAGAGATTTTTAATCGTCCCTTGTGCTTCCGTTTCTTCTGCCATCAGCAGCGCACACACAGCTCCCGAAGTGGTCGTCATCGACTATACTGATCTTCAGAAATGATAGTGAGTAGTACAGAACCCCTGAAGCCCTTTTTAACCCCGTGGTTTCAACCGTTCAACGGCCCGAGGAAACACCGGCATGCGGGGAGAGCGCGAACGTTCCGCATATACAGCGGGGCTCCATAGTCACGGACGAGGCAAAGTGGTGGCTTCCTCGGAAGCGACGCCCAAACAGGCGTCAGCAGCGTAGACAGTCAACAGCCCAAGCGGACCTGCCCTGGCCACCGCCGGGCGGGGTCCCAGGCGGGACACTGTGACTTCCCTGCCTGGGGCGGCCGAGGCCAGCAGTGTCCCAGCCCGTGTGCCGTGGTGGGTGCAACGCGGTGCCCTCAGCCTCCGAGAAGCCATCAGCAGTGCCACTCACCGCCGTGTCCATGACATCACGGTCCCCCCCACCCCCCCGGCCTGTGTACAACGACCGGGTTTTCCTGCACACGCGCTAGTCCGTCTCCGAGGGACGCCCCCTTCCGGCGCACGCCCGTCCTCCCCGCAGGGAAGCCAGCGCCCCCGCCCAGAGGCGCGGGTCGCCCCTGCGGACGCGCCCACCTGCTCGGCCTGCATCCCAGGCTTCGCCCCGTCTCGCAGTCCTCAGCACCCACGCAAACGACCGCCCCGTCACGAAGGGGGTCTCGGACTGAATGGCGCTGCCGCCCCTGGCCCATAAGCAGGGAAAGACCCGCGATGCCTCACAGACCTTACGCCACAAATGCAGAGGCTGCTTCCCAGAAACTGAAGCGGAGCACTGAGGCAGAAACGTAACATCGGCAACAGCCGCCGTTTCTGGTCCCGCGGGGCGTCGCGGCCGCAGAGTCCCCAAGGACGGTCCGCCTGGGGCGCCACCTCCTCATCCTGGCCCCGCCGTCCCCCCCACAACGCTCTCCAAGCGAGACGCGTACCTTCTCGTCCCCACACCCACATGTGTCGTCAGCGTGACAGAACGGTCACAAAACGGAGCGAAGGGCAGAGGAGCCCGGTGCCCGTTCTGCACTGGGTGGGCGTTCTGGACCCCAGGCCGGCGTGCGGCTGCTCCCGGCGGCGCGGTGTCCCGTCCGGGACGGCCCCAACAGGGACAAGCCGCATGGCGCCCGCGACTCACCTCGGGATACAGGCAAGGTAGGAGATGAGCCTGCGGAGGTCCTCCTGTCGTATTCTGTCGTGATTGCTGCGCGCCGGGAACGTCAGGATGGGGCCTCCCCGCTTGTCTCTGCCACCTGCAAAACAGCATTCGGAGCGCGCTTAGGCGCAAACGAGCGCACAGGACTCCGCGGGCCCCGCGGGTGCACCGCCGACACGCAGCCGCCCGCGCGCACTTGACCACCGGCTGCGCGGCCAGGAAGGCGCGTGCAAGCAGCAAGAGTCGGGCTCTGGGCGGACACCGGGCTGGGACACGGGGCTGGACTACCTCGTCCCCTCCCCGGACTCTGGACAACAGGCCTAAGTGCTGCCTGCCACGTGAAAGCCATGAGAGAAAGCGCCGTCTGAACCTTCCCGTGGGTCCCCTCCAGCGTCACCTTTAGGGGTGGAGAACGTTTCCACATAGGTGGGCGCCGTTCCCCCTGAAACCGCGGCCTCCCCCGCCTTCCCAGGCCCTCCCGTCACCCTCCCACACCACCCACTCCTTCCCCGCCCCCGGCATTCTAAGCTCTCTTTGCTATCAACCACATCGGGTTTGTTTTTTTTGTTGTTGTTGTTTTTTTAAGATTTTTTTTTTTTTTTTTGGACAGACAAGAGATCACAAGCAGGCAGAGAGGGGGTGGGGGGGAAGCAGGTTCTCTGCTGAGCAGAGAGCCTGACGCAGGGCTCGATCCCAGGACCCTGGGATCATGACCTGAGCAGAAGGCAGAGGCTTTAACCCACTGAGCCACCCAGGCGCCCCACATCAGGTTTTAAGTCTTGAAAGAAAGAAACGGGAAAGGACTTCAAACTTTATGCCAACGATGACCTTCATCATCTGGGATCTAGGGCATCGTCCTCTCCTGAAAGCAGCACCTGACCCCAGTGGTCAAGCCTCACCAACCTCTCACACAAAGCCACACAGAGAGACTGGCATTTAAGAATTTTAAAACAGAACTAAATTAGCTTGAGTTTAGAAAAATTAGATCACATACAAAGTATAAATGTCGGGGGATTGTCTTGGCATAGGCAGATGTAACCCTCATGAACACACATATAATCCTCATGAGGCCTGTGGGTATCACTGAATACTTCCAGTGAAATTTCCAGAAGTATTCTATTACTCCACCAATGTTTTCAGAAAATAAAACAGAGGAGGAAAATCTAGCCTTCCCAAGAGGATCTTTCCTTCATTTCACAGCTCTGGTCATGTGTCCTCAGAGGTAGAGCAGTAAGACCACAAAATTCAAGTCACAGCATGAAACCCCTCATTATTTTCTCCTCTTATTTACTTCATTAGCAGAAGTAAAACTAAAAAGCAAGCAAACATTAACAACAGAAAACCGGATTCTCTCCTTTTAGAAAAGTGAAAAAAGGATTCAACATGAGATGTTGGTATTTTAAAAACATATTTCCCCACTATGAAACTATGGATTTTCACAATTTCCTAGAATGATTAATAAATCCTGCTGAACAATAATGAAACTCAATTTTGATTCTGAACACTTAAAATGATCCACATGTACCGTTAGGTCATGCAGTCTAGAAAAGTGTTCAATTATTTATAAATCCAGTAATTCATGTATTAAATGGGAACAACACAAAACCACAGCCATTGCTAGGTATGGTATCAAGTCCTTTACATGTGCTCTGATTTCAACAGCACATTGACCCTGTCAAGGTTTTATCCTTCCAGCTTTATAATTAAAGATACTAAAGCTCAAAGTGCTTAAATAAAGACGGGGGCGGGGGTGGGGGGGGAAACTGCCTCCTAAGAAGAGCATGCAACTCCTGATCTCAGGGTCGTGAGTTTGCGTGCCATGTTGCGTGTAGAGATTACTTAAAATAAATAAATGAAACTACAAAAAAAAAAAAAAAAAAAAACCAAGGGGACTATTTCACATGGTCATAGGTGGGTTCTTTGCCCTGACAAAAACTTAGAAAAATTTTCAAACTAGTGGCTTTAAATCTCTCTAAAGTAGTGGTGAAATGTCAGGACAACTGAATGATGGTTCCTGAGCTTTTCAATGAATGAAAGGTACTATTAAAAGTAAGCAGCAGTTCTGTTATAAATGCCAGAATGTAATCTTCTGAAATAACAGACAGTATTTTTAGGGTCAAATCTATGGTCCTAGTTTTGGGGGAATAACTCTTATCGCCAAGACAAGAAAGGCAACAATTCAGCATTTTTTAAAAATCTCTGAACATCTTTGATACTTTCCAAAAAGAGACTCAGTCTCCTTGATCAAAAAATACTGTGTTTTGGGGAGCCTGAGTGGTTTAGTTAGTTAAGTGTCTGCCTTCGGCTCAGCATCCGCCTTTGGCTCAGGTCATAATCCCAGGTTCTGGGATCAAGGCCCGCATCGGTTTCCCTGCTCAGCAGGGAGTCTGCTTCTCTCTCTCCCTTGCCCCCTGCTTGTTCTGCTCTCTCAAATAAATAAAATCTTCAAAAAAATATATTGGAACACCATATTTTTCAAAAATTTGAGTCCTTAAAAATACAGTATGATATTTGGGTTAAAATACTCACCCCACTTTTGATAAACAGAATAGCATCTAACATTTTTCTGGACCACCATTCAGAATTTTTTAAATGCAACGTTAACATCTGATTCAGCAGGGAGACTAGACGACAATGACCCATGCTCGACCCTCCTCCCTCTGGGGTCATCATATCTCACCAAGCAAGCAAAGGAATGCTCCACCGTGGGTGTGAAAAGTAGAATCCAAAGCCTGCCCATCAAAGACACTCACGCAGGCAATCAACATGTGTGCACACCGCACGCAGCCGTCGGCTCACACAGAAGTGAGAAGGAAACTCAAGGGTGTGCACAGGTCCTGACTGCCTGCTGTACTGCTTCACCTTTTAATTAGAGTCCTCCCAGCTGGTAGCGCTAATGAGGTGTCCCCTGAGAGCTGCCAGCAAGCTCATCCACCAAACAGGCTCTCACTTATGTCCTAAAGAAAAGCTTCCATAAACCCAAATTTGACCTTTAAGAGGAAGAAAAAAAATTCACCTTGTCTTTTTCCTTTTCACAGAACAGAGCTCCAGAAAACTCACTACAATAGTTTTTAAAACGTCATCAAAAATCACTTATAAAGTAAAAACTGCATATTCTTTATTTAAATAATTTAATGATTGGCCTTCACTTGCTAACCTCCCTGCATCAGGGCTCATCTTCCGACCTGTGCTGTGTCACCGTCAGTGATGGGCAGGTGCCCAATCTCCATCTGCTGACCCTCCCAGGGAGGTTTAAAAAAGAAAAACCTGAGACCCGAAGAGACACAGTATTAGTTCAAAGCATCCTGGTCTCTGAACCTCGAGGAGCCTCAAGTCAACGCCACAGATGCATTCGCCAAGCTTCAACCGGTGCCAACGTCACAAACAGGAAGGCACACAAATGAATGCTGCCCGGGCTGTGAAGCTGAAGAGTGACCGCCTGAAAGTTCTCGTTCGGGAGCCAGTAACAGGAGTGAGGCTGCAGCTCGGAAGCCTCGCCTGCCGGATACACCCGAACGGATGTGATGTCCGCCTGCAGCCCCAAGGGGAGGTGGGACACACGGCGGTCCCGCGGCACAGACGGGAAACCCAGCGCCTGGGTTTCTGCCATGAAAAGGGCAAGAAATCCGTGTCCTGCACCTACCAACGTCCAGTACATCTGAGAGCGGCACAGCCTCTGGGCTGGTCCACGCCTGTCATCAAATCTAGCAGCTCGTCAAGGGTTAGCTGCCTGTCCAAGTGCTGTTTTAGTCAAACCAAACCAAACAGAAAGTGTGGTTTTTGTTCCTAACGACACAGTTTATTTTCAACTCTTACAATACTCCCCATACCCCATTATATTCCTGCAAGGCACCTCTCCCCTTCTAGTACATCATCTGGTTGACGCAGTCTTTTCCTTTGTCTGTCCCGCCCGCTAAGTGAAGCTCTAAAGGGGCAGGCTTGTCTGCTCATTCACGGACATCGGTACACACCTGTGAGGCCTCGGAAGAGACCGGAACAAAGCGCGAACTCGGTACTTACCAGCTGAATGAATGGATTCCTCATCTGTACTCCACACAAAGGTAATTCAAAATACCTACCATCGGGATCAGGAAGTTAAAAACAGACGTGCCTGATGAACTTTCCTATAGAAACACAGAGGTAGGGACGCCCAGCAGGGGCAGGGGCTGGGGGCGTGGGGGCGGTGGGTTAAGCGTTTGACTCTTGATTTTGGCTTAGGCCATGATCTCGGCTCAGGTCGTGATCTCAGGGTCCGGGGATCCAGCCCAGCATCAGGCTCTGTGCTCAGCATCAAGTGGTCTGCTTGACATTCTCTCCCCCTCACCCTCTGCCCCTCCCACCTGTTTTCTCTCTCTCCCCTCCCCTCAAATAAATGTTTTACACACACACACACACACACAGACACACACACACACTAAACAGAGGTTCTTGTCAACATGAGAAAGAAAGCGGAGAAAGTCCTGCTTTATGGTTCCAGCCATCTGCGTGACCCTTCCTCAAACCCAGTGATGCTTATTCTCCTCTTCTGAAAGGGGAAAGCCCAGGGCACTTGGGCTCTGGAGCAGCACGGTGCAGAATGACCACAGAAGCAGCTAGCTTCAGAGCTGCCCCTTTTTCTTTAAATCAATTAAGAACTCAGCTTTCATCCTTCTCTTCAAAGGCAGGCATACCTGCTTTGAGGAGTATGAGGTCGATCTCCGTGAACCAACTGTATTTGTCTTGTATGGCTCTTGTTTGAATTTCTGGATTACAATACAATCTGGAAAATGATTCTTTAAGCTCCCGCCCCCGCCCAAAGAACGGTCTAACTCACTGATCATGAAAAGCAGAGCTTTACAAAGGCAGCTCTGAAAAGGCACGGTTTGTGAAGGAGAAATTGCGGCTGCCACCTATTAAGGCTGCTGTCAACTAAGAAAACTCTGTTACAAAGGTGAACACCGGGCCACTGCTCTAGGAGGGGCCAAGGAGCAGCTCCACAGCCTGGTACCCTCGCACGCCCGTCTCCCGCAGCCCCGTCCTGAGAACTAGTATTTGGAAGGAAGACTCTAAGGGGACTCTTGATGGGGCGCTTGGAGAGCCTCCGGCAATTCCCGGTCT